TGATCCATTTTTTGTCTCACTCTTGAGATGTGTTTTCACATTTATTTCCCCTTTAAATGTAAAAAATAGCAAGTACTGTACATGGTCGTCTTGTAATTATTTGGTGAGTTTTTTCTATGCTGAAACAGTAAACTTAAACACAGCCCTAATAAGTCGAATTGCTGTAATTTAGAACTGAGTAAACACAGATCATGCTGTAATCAAAAAGAGATGCCCATGTCAGTGTTTGCCAAGCTGACCCATATGGCAGGCAGAGATTTGTAAGATGATACAGTTTAGCAAATCAAGTTCCCTAAATCCTAGCTCACAAATTCAGCATCCTTCATAAACAGTGAATTACCCTTACAGATGTTTGCCTGTGAAATTATCAACTACCGAAGGCCCCATCAAATCTAAGAGAAGCACTAGATATGCATTTTTGACTCTAGAAAGGACTTCATTGATAGTATGTTGACATTTTTAGGTAAATTCTTGCTGGGAACAAATACATCATACTGTGGAGCACGAATCAGCCTTGAACCTCCATCCCCAGCTAGCTGCAGCGAGTGCCTGCTGCTCTCCTTGCGTGAACCCCTCCAGAAATGATTACTCTAGGACCCATAAAACCCCGCGGAGCTCGGAAAAGGAGCTGCTGCTGCTGCTGCCGCCGCCGCCCAGATTATTACATTGGAGCAGCTGCGGAGTCCTCAGATGACAGATGAATTGTAACTGCAAGCCGCCATCACAGGGGCCAGAGTTGTTATTATTTTTCATTTCTGTTTGGACTCGAAAAGGAACTGATGGGAGCAAGTACCGAGGCTGGGCTGCACTGCAGGGGTGGCCACCACTAATTCTGACTGGCAACATTCACAATAAGCAATGGTCTACCTGACAGGTAGCGAGGTCACCTGCAGGGACATGGCTTGTTCTGGGGGAGCAGGGCAGTTGGCCAAAAAGGGGATGGAGGCTGGAAAAGTGTGGTTTGAAAAATGGCTTGGAAATTATTTCGGCATAATTGAATTTGTACAAAGGAAGGAAGCAACAGAAACTGAAATGAACGGTGAGACGGGTGTTCATCCTAAAGCAGACTGGAACTGGAGAAATTAGGAGGGACTCAGGGAGTCCAGCAGTGAGCAGAAAGGCCAGGGACTATGGTGGCTTCCAGAAGCCACTGGCCACTGACTTCATCTCTGTGGCTCTTCTCTTTCCTATCTGTGTAAAATGTGACTGGTAACACAGCCTTGTAGGGGTCTCGTGAAGATTAAATGGCATTATGTGCTTCAGGGCTATGCCCGCCACAAAATAGTACTTTGCTACAGCTATTATTTTCTTATTTGAAATGAGAATTGAGACTATTTAAAAAAAATGGCAGGCGGAAAGCACGCTCTCCTCAGTTGGGCGCACTGGCGCTACGCTGCTGGGTTCTCAGGGGCAAGAAGCGCATCCGCCCGGCCAGCCTCTGACTCAGAGGCTTTTAAACCCAGGCATAGGTTTGCAAGAGGGTGGTGAACCGGAGGAAAGCAAAGCTCAGGGCGAGGTGTTTCTATTTCAGTGCTACCCTGCAGCGTGTCTGGGCCTCACTCCCTGCAATGAGAGGCGACTGTAAGAGGATGAGGCCAGGCACTCTGGGAGGTGCTTGTGGCTCTGGGGAAATCGGTCTGTGCAGTGCGTCAAATGAGTGCCAGCTGCGCTAGCACATGCCAGGCATGAGGGCAGGAAGCCAAGCCCTGAGGACCATAGAAGCGCCGGGGAAGGGGAACTAAGCCAGTGTCGGGGTGAGAAGAACCTACAAAGGAAACCAAATGGTTTGCATTTGAAGCGCGCGTTGAGAAAGGGGGGCCGAACTAAAAAGCATTAGGCAAATGTGTTCCCCGTGCCTGGGGCCTGACGAATGGATGGAGGGACAGTTACACGCGGTTCATAAAGGAAGTCTGCCCTGATGGGAGATGATGTGGGTTTGCCTGCATTTGTCTGTCAGGCTTGAGAGGGGAAAACCAGGAGGAGGGGATGGCAAGGTGGGCAAGTGTCAGCAAACAGACAGAGGTTTCCAGGTCCATGTGCAAACACCGCGTCCACTGTAAAGCTCCCTTGGCTGCTGGTGGCGGCGTGGAGGGTGAGTAATTGGCCCCTGTGCTGACCGCAGAGACTGGCCTCCAGGCAGCCAGCAGGGAGGGAAGGAAGGCCTGAGCGACTGGAGGTGCTCTTTCTTCCAGTCCCGGACTAGAGCCTTCCTCCCAAATAGCTCAGGGCCCTCCGTGGTGGCGCAGCAGGTGAAAGCGCAGCACTAAGAAACCAAGTAGCTCTACTTCATGAGGGAGAAAAGATGACCTTGCTCTTGACGCTGCTGACTTTGAAAAGCACTGCGGGGTGGGGGCCGAAAAGGAAAGGTGACCCCCAAACCCCGCACAGCAGGGCAACAAGGCGACAAGCTAAGAGCAGCAGGAATGTACGCTAAGCACGTGGCGCTCTGCCCTGTGAGCCATAGTCTGTAAAAACGTAAGCATGAGTCCTGAAGTTTGGGCTAGACACTTCACAAAGCCTGTTTTTATTCCAGGCATGGGGAATGAAACATGTGGTTCTTCAATAAAGGAAAGCCCATTCACCAATGGCGTGGGGGGAAAGAGGAATTCTATGCAATGTATAGCCCTTCAAAAAAAAAAAAAGACAGGACTTTTGTTGTTCCTCAAAGGGTGCTATCTTTATGAGATTATTAAGGCAACCAGCTTCTTTTCTTTCCCCATTGAAATGACATTCTACTGTTTCTCTTAAGTGGCTTCTCCTGCAGACTGCAGCCCCGAGCCTCTGACAGGTGCTCGCCCTGCTCCCTCGCCCAGTCTCTTTGAGAGCCACATAGCACTGGGGCAAGCTGCTCCTAAGTCGAGGATTCCAAGTGTGCCGATTAGGTGGGCTTGGGAAGTGGGTCTGGCATTCCTTGGGCAGTGAAGGAAAGACCTCTGATGTCCTTGGGAAAACAAGATGGCTGCAGAGACCAGAGGAGGAAGTTTCTTTAGGAAGGCACCACCACACATGCAGGATTTGCTGGATTTGGTCTAGCTCCGCCCAGTGTGCATTGCACTTGTGGACTTCACCACAGCTGCCCCTCGCCATCTGCCCGCACCCTGCACCCCAGACACGGATGTCTGAGATGCTGCTGGCTTCTTATGTTGCAAAAGTGGCCAAGCTGCCTGACTGAGACAGCCCAAGTCTGTTCACAGGCACTGGACTCATGCTTTGAGATGCCACAGCCGTGTCCCGGGTTGAAACAGGCGCGTGAATAACCACAGCGGGTGCGGGCAGGCGGCCGGCCCACTAGGTGCTAAATAGCCTTCTGCTCCTTACCATTCCCTCAGCTGCATGTTCATAGGGTTTGAAATTCTAGAAGGATCTTACCAGTAGGAGGCTCAGGGAAGTTGGGTGACTCTGGAAAGGGGGTGCAGAATTGTCACTGGCACGTAGCTGGCTTTCTGTCCCCAGTGGAAAGGCTGCCTGGATTTCTCATTGTTCATCATATGACAAACAGGCCTTTATATACACTTGGCGGCTTATGAGAGAATTAGGTATCATTGTCTTCATTTACAGGCAGGAAGGGAAATTCAGCAAGAGGAAGTCATCTGTCCAAATCACAGGAGTGACAAATGGGAGCACCGGGACTGGAATTCACTCCCACACTTTATTGTACACATCAAGTCAGCACTCACTTAACAGACGGGCAACCTTTCGGGAACATATCCTTAGGTGATGGTGTCATGGTGGCAACGTTCTTCTCTAGAGGGTCATTCTCTCTTTGGCTGGCACAGAAAGCCAAGAGGGCATCCTGGAAGAGGAGCTGTGTCCTCCTCAACCTCCTGACACTCCTACACTGCCTCCCACTGAGCAAATGAATCTCGGGAGGCCTTTATACAAGCTGTCTGCCTTGACAGAAATGTCTCTGTGCTGACAGCCAGCCCCAGAGATGCATTTTTCTGGCCTGACTTTAACTGTTCGCTTTGGCGTCACTGTTCACTTTGGGAGAGGTCATGCCCATTCTGGCTGCTCGTCACAGCCTGCATGCCATTCCCATGCCTGACTGCACTCTGGTCGGGACACTTCCTGGAACTCCCCCCTTCCCTTCCACCCTCCCGCTTCTCATCCCTCATGACAGGGGCCACCACCCTATAACCGAGTGCCATCAAACATGTCAGGGAAGGCCAGAGAGCTGACTTGAGGTCCCTGAGAGCAAGAAGGCCAAGTATTTCAGTGGGATGCTTGAAACAAAGTTTCCTTAAAAAGGGTGTGCATGCCCCCATGTTTATTGCTGCTTTCTTTACAATTGGAAAGACATGGAAGCAGCCCCAATGCCCAAAAGTGGATGACTGGATTAAAAAGATGTGGAACATATACACAATGGAATATTACTCAGCAACCAAAAAAGAGAAACTCATGCCTTTTGCAGCAACATGGATGGAGCTGGGAAAGATCATGCTTAGTGAGATAAGCCAGAAAGAAAAAGAAAAATGATGGATGGTTTCACTCATATCAGGAGTATAACAGACCAGGCGAGAAAATAACAATAATAATGAACAACCATATACCAGAGACATTTTACAGGTGTGGAGTGGGGACTGGAATCAAAACCAGTGTGGGGAGGGAAGTGCGCTGGACTGTGGTGATGGCACCAGGGTGACCTGGTGATGGGAAACCCATGGGGATTACAACTGAGATGAAAAAATGCACAAAATGATGTAAAAATAAATTATTATATTACTAAAAAAAGGGTGTGCATCTCCATTCACACCTCAAGAAAAAAGGTCGAGAAAGACACAACAATGGGACAGACACTCACTGAGTTTGAAGCAGCTTGATTAGAGATGCCGAATCAATGGGTAAGAATTGAGATACAGGCAGAAGGACCCAGAACTAGAATGCAAAGCTTCCTCAACGTACGTAACACAGGCAGAAACAGGGCAGTAACTACGTTCACCAGCGTCAGCAGGTAGAAGTCTTCATTAGTAAAAAGCACAGAAATAAACATTTAAACTCACCCGCAAGATTTCTTCAACACAGCTTGGATCACTGGGGAGGCTTACCTAAAACAAAATAAATTTAAAAAAATCAACAATCTGTTTTTTCTATCAGAAACTTACTGCACAATGGCTTTCTCTGTAAGAAAAACTGTAAAGAAGGTAAATTTTGCACTCCAGTGGGTTGCTTCCTGTTAAATACAAAGCACTCAGTATCTTCAAATGGCCGGTTTGTCTTACTCTCATGAAGCACTAAGACCACAGTGGAAGGTGTAGAGTGAGTGAGTCATCTTCCACTGATTCGCTGAGGGACAATGAGTCATCCTCCCCCATCACTCTGGACTTCACTTTGCTCTTCTAGCCAGAGGGGGCTCAACTTCCGGATCTTTAAGGCTTCCCTGACATCGCCTAGTATATTATTGATAACCACAGATTTTGAAAAGAGGACACCCCTTTGAAAGCTGTGTACGATTAAGTGGAGTTCTGTTTGAACTTGGGAGCTCAGTCAGTGCTCAACCACTCTTAGTCAGAACACCAAGGCTGACTAACCTCCAGTGCAGGCGGCACACTTGTCTCACAAATACACAAAGTGAGTCCTGGGAGCATCTTGCCGAGTGTGACATCTTCCTGATCAATCAGAATCCAAGCAACAGGCAGGACCACGCTGAAAACTTCCTCCAAGTCCCACATGTGGCCCTTTCCTCCAGGGCACTGGAGTCAGTGAGAGCTGAAAACAAAAGGTGAGCCACGGGGCAGTCCAGGACTGCTGCATGTGACGTCACCTTGTCAGACAGAGGCCACCACCTCCCCAAGGCTTCTAACTCTGTCCTTCACACCTTCACCTTCTGCAGAATTGCAGTGTGCTCGCTCCCACCTGCCATTCTGCCAAGGAGAACATTTGGTTGCTTTAATTCACAGCCTTGGCAGGGGAAGGGCCAGTCCTGCAAGACCCGCACGGCCCTAGAGGCTAAATGCTCTGGGCTTTCCACAAGGCCAACACAGTCATTGCCCCCGTTACCCTGACAGATTGAGTAGAGAGAGAAGCTGTACCTGGGAAAGTGGGGAACAGAATATGGCGCCTTAATATGGTGTTCGTGCTGGAAACATCAGCAAATCATAAATTAGCTGTAAAGTCACTACTGTGCTCCATTGACTCCAGCTGGTATTTATTGAGTACCTTGCTGTCCGCCGCATACAAACCCTGCTCTGGGAGCACAGTCCCTCGTAATGATGGCCTCATCCATCTGACTTAGCCTGGGTGGCTCCAGTTCATACTGTTATCCTGGGAGAATTAGACTCCCCTTGCACCCTCGGAAATGACCCAGTTGGAATGATAAATTATACAGTCACCCACAGGAGAGCAGACAGTAATAGTTTTCGTCAGAACACACACACACAAAAGTGTAACTATGAGGTAATAAATACAAACAGATAAATACAAATAGCAAAGCACCGTGCTGTCCATGTGAAATGATACCATGGGATATGTCCAGTCTACCTCAATAATTAAAAACATACACCACCAGTCTGACAACACTGATACTGTACTATCAGGAGAAAGGACAGTGGAAGAAAGATGAGAGCCTTAACCCTGACAGGGAACCACAGGCGATTGGGCCTGGCATATTCCTTCCCTCCCCACTTCCCCCGCCCTCTCTTCCTTCCATCATTCACTCAACAAATATATTTGGAACGGGGCCTGTGCCGCCAGGCTTGTGCTAACCACAGACAGAGTGGGGAGCCAGAGAAGGGTTAATGAACAACCCTACAGGTAACGTGTGGGCATAACCGATGCGAGGAGCCTGAGCATGGACACTGACACTGACTAGGCCCACAGAACCTGCGGTTCTCTGTGCATTAAGGGCGGTAAATGGTGCATCCCCCTGCCCACCTGGAGAGCCGGGACGCCAGTGAAGGGGCCGACACGTCCGTGATTGCTTTAAGCTGAATGTCCCTGACTTTCTGATCACTTACTTCTTGGCTTTGTAATTTTTGTGATTCCCTATTATCAGCTACTGCCGCTTATCAATCCTTGCGAGTGTCTGTGAGCCATGCACTGGGCGATGCTGGCCCAGCCTGTGTTGGGGTTACAGAACTTGAGTGAGTAGTCTGACCATGAAAAACAAAGTGGGTCCCATTAGTCACTGCCCCAGCAGTTGCATTTCCAAGAGAATTCTTGAACTCTGAACAAATGCCTCCCCCTGACCAAAGGTCACATGACTGCAGCAGGGCCTGAAGCTGCCATATCATCGCTACCTTGCCTCGCTTGCCCGGGGACGGGCTACACACAGTCCACTCTGCACCCTCCTGAACAGTGAAAAGGTTTTGTGTTCCTTTCCTTGCACAAGCACATCAACGTGAATGTCTTGATTAAAGAGGATTCAGCAGCTAGAACGTTTACCCCTGAGTCAGAGGTTGGCTGGGAGAGCTGGCGCTCCCGAGACCAGTATTTAGTACCGTTCTGAGTGAGTGCCCGTTTTCCCAAATGTACAATTAAAATCCAACATAAAAATAGTGTTGATAATCATAACACCCGCTCCCCGGAAATCTCACCGGCTTTCTGGGAGCCAAGGCCAAGGTCAACGACGTGATGTGTAGCCGCAGAGGCCGCCCATGAGGCAGGCTTCCGCCCTGCATCCCAATCTCATCACAGCTCTATTTATCATTAAGCCTCGTCTTCTCGCCTTCTCAAGGTAAGATCTGACTCACTGCTCCCAACTGCAAATATCGTCTCTCCACTTGGTATTACAAATAGCCCCTTCCTTATGGGGGGCATGCTGTCAACACACAACGAGCTGTGGGCTCTGGGGCTTTGCCGCAAACCTAACGCCGACTTGCTGGGCTGGGCAGTACGCAGCCCTGATATAGAGCCTGCAGATGAGGCCACTCAAATCATCGTGCATTCACACGAGGGCTCTGGTTTCTTTCCCTCAGAAAACGCCCAGCCCAGCATGCACGTGGAGTCTCGTGCACACACACATCTAGTCCTGCCCCACACCTGCTCGCCCTGCAGCACAAACTACTGGAGCCTCAGTGTCCGCACTGCGAGCGCTTTCTAATTAACCAGCCGCGCTTCCTCTGTGCCTAGCAGAGTGCCAGGTTGGGGTGGGGCAGAGGCGCCAAATACCTCTGAGACTTGGCCTCTTTCTCCGGGAGCTAAATGTCTGGAAAACAAACAATTCGAGACCCACTGGGACATACATTGCGAGGTGGTCGTGACAAGGGTAATAGGATCGCATTCATCCGCCTGCCTGTCCGCTGTTCATCAGTTTTCCCATTTATTTCTTTAGACAGCAAATCCTGATTGAGCTCACACTGGGCTCAGGATGATGCCAGGGGGAAGGGTTTAAAGACACTGAGGACAGTGTAATTTCTGCCTTCGAGGCTCCACGCAACTTGGGAAGACAAACAGTGACACGGGACACAGACAATATCAAACAGCACATCTGACTGGGGGCTGGGAAAGGGTACCTACCGGGCTCACGGGCACAGCCAGGTCCCACAGAAGCTCCCAGCCGCTGAGGTCGCCACTGTCGTCCTCACACCAGAGGGGAGTGAGAAGCCACACATCTGACATGGCCGAGAAGTGGCGGGGCCACCTGAGGTCACTTCAGTCTCTGACCTCGTGGTCACTGCACCTGGGAGCAAGCTGGGGCTTTGGCCTGAGTTTGCCCAGTTGCATTTGCTCTCCCTCTCTCGCTCTCCCCCGCCCCCACTCCTCTCTCTCTTCTCTCACACACCCCTCTCGCAGTAATTCTGGACAGGTGTGAAAGGGACGACACTGGGATTAGAACTGCCGCCCCACGAGGCGCCAAGCTGCGCGTCCTGCCGGAGCCACCTTCTCCTCTGTTTAATCCACTCTTGAGTATTCACAGAGTCCACAAAGCACAAGGTAGCCACTCAGCGCCGCGGCGCCTCTCCACCCCTCTCTGCGCCCCTCCCCTGGAAGCAGAGAGCAGGCTGCACTCCAGGGGGGCTGTGCTCTCACTCCTGGCCCCAGATGACCCTCTTGTGCTAGGCTTATGGGGTCTTCCGGCCTCGGGTGGCAGGTGCATGTCAGGCAGGTGGTGAGGGCACCTCACCCTGCCAAGTGTCTGCCCTCTCCGCCTGTGACAGTGTGGCCACCACCCCTGCAGTCACAGAGAGACCACGCGGATCATCTGCCCAGTGATAAACCCAGATCTTAGGGAATAATCAGGGTACCTTTAAATCATCGAATATTCAATTAACTGCAGCAACAATAAATGAATTGCATAGGATGTTTTAATCATTTGGGAATTAATCAGTTGGAGCATACTTCTTGGCGATTAGGGTAATACAAGACATCAAAAATACCCTGATTGTGGCATTGAGAGACAGAAGCAGCAGCTCGTGCTAACAGAAAACACAGAGATTAATGTGAAACATTAAAAGAATAATGATCACGTGGCTAACCTGCGGGACCCCCAGCGTGCCTTTCAGTACATTATTAAGGGATGGCAAGAAAGAGAGGTCATTTCCCCCCCAAATTCAGCCTGAGCTTGTCTCATACCTCCTGGCAATCCAAACCCCCTATTGTAGGCATATTCCACCTTGACACAGACTTCATCAAGGGAAACTCAAAAAGCAAAATTCTAATTGCCAGCCAGTGCCAGTGGGCAGGGTGACAGCAGTGTCAGACGCCATGGGACAGGCACCGCTCCACAGCGACTGGCACAGTCACCTAGGCTTGCATTTCACCAACAGTTTGCCACATTATACCCTCGACTGATTGGCGGTGCCCGTGACACAGCTTCGCTAATAATAAAAAGGAACCCCAGGCGGTGGTACTGAACCCCCAAGTGAATGCTTCATCTTTTTAAAATTTTGACTTTCTCTTGCTGGTCATTTGTAAAAGTGAGGGGCAGCAGCCTCTGAAGTTCTTATTTGCATGTGTCTGGGGGGTCCCTTCCCTCCCCTCCAGCTAGGGAGTTCCAGATTTCTAAATCAGAAATCTCCACACCAGTTCACTTGAGGATCACTCTGTGCCTTTTTTTCCAGCCTCGCCGTAACCTGTCCCTCTTCTCCCTACCCTAGTTGGTATTCAT